GTTCTCTGTCAAAATGTCCAGGATGTTTAATAAAGTTACATCTTCCTAATCAGTAGTAAGCTGTTTACACACTCTAAATCTGTATCTTTATGCTTCAGCAAACCAGGAGAAAAGAAAATACTGCATTTCCTGCCCATTGAACATTGTTTTATTCTGTGCCAGTACTCATAATGAATATAAATTCATCTGTACATAGAGAAAGCAAATGGTTTCTTGTTTACGTGACCAGCTAGCTGTATTAAACAAATATACTCTAGTCTCACTTACACAATTAGACAAGCCACCCAACAAACTTGGCTTTCAGCAACCAAGGTGCATATGCCTTTAGCAGTAGGCTGTTTGTGATGGTTAGGAGGAGCAGAGCTTGCCTCCCTTCTCAGTTACACCCATCTCTGCACGAGGGGCATAACAGAAAGTCAGGATCTTCTTGTGCTGCTTTCAAACATGCAGAGAGAGTTCCTTGTTTTCCACTGGCTGTATAAGAGCAAGGGAATATGATAAAGGGATGAGCTTTCTGAGGGGCAATCAATGCTTTTCATACTCATCTGGTAAAGGTGATGAAGATGTCCATGCCTAGGATGATTAGGAGTGTCACTGGGGTCATGGCTGCTTTCTCTTTTGCCCTGTCTCTTTTATGGGGACTGTTGCTGGGCAGAGTGCTACTATCAAGCACTTCCTCTCTTTTTCTAAGACAGTTTTTAATTTTCACTCTAATAACTCTTTGTGACCAAAGCAATGCGTCAGCCTTCAATATGTTATTCCACTAAGCATTTAGCAGTGCGCAGTGGTTGTTCAGAAGGCTGTCCCAGTTGTTCTCAAAGGTGTTCTTCAAAAGATATTCTCCAGGAATTTTGCTCAAACCTATCTGTATTCTGGAATTGCTTTGATTGCTACTGCTCAGTCTGAGTCTGAGATTTTTGATCTCTAGGGATGGTCAGACATGTTCCAGTATTCAGCTTATTCAACCTTACAGCCTCTCTGTTCCTCCCTCTCCACCCCAAGGAGTGGATGAAATTGTTAATAACATTAACAGGTGCAGAAGAAATTCACAGAATTCACATAGTGACTAGGTTGGAAGAGACCTTCAACATCCTTGAGTCCAACCCAAATTCAGGTCACTCTGTTAGGTGGCGTATGAAATTTTGAAAGCTGTACAGTTTTTTTGTTTTTTAATGGTTGCTAGGGGAATCACATCTGTAGACGAAAGTATCACAAAAATTACAAGGATTTAAGCAAACATGTTCATTGGTCACAAGAATTGCTTCAAGTGGTTCACACAGATTAAAAAACAGTTGTCAAGGACTTCTCAGTTTCCCAGATAACAGAGTAAAAAGAGTTTACATAGGAACAAGCTCTCACCTACAGTTGTATGGGGGAAAGAAACTCCAGAAGCAAGTTTTGAAGTGCTTTAATAACAGACACTTAGCAGCTGTTTTTACTGTTAACTTGTATCAGGAATATGCCAAGGGACCACAGTTTTTGGTACTGGCTGGCACTAAAACAAAGCACTTTCATTGCCAAGAGGAAATTTTCAGGGAAATGTCAAAGGCATTATTTATTTATTTAGTGCATTTTTGGTCTGTTTTTCTCAGTTTTAACATGTGTAAAAACCAGAAGTTTGTCTTGACATCTCTGTATTAATTCCATGGCAATTAATTCAGGATAGATCTGTAAAGATGACAGACACCAGTTATCGGAAAATTATTGGAAGTCATTGGAAGTTGACTGCAACAGCCAAGGATATGGCTGACAAATATTCTTCTCTCATTTTGGTCTTGTTTCAAAAATCTGTACCAATGGATTGATCACTAAAAGTACCTCTTGTAACAATCAATCAAATAATTCTGAGGATGGATATATCTCCAATTTTACCTTTTTTTCTTGCTTTCTTGCACAGAAGTAGGGGCAAAACTTGTGGCATTGACTATACTGGTTTAATCTAAAATTGTAAATGCCAGATAAAATTTCAATATCATATATACTATAAATACCATAATTACAACCTGAAAGTAGATCATGTAACATGAGGGTGGCAAAGGTAAGCATTCAGAATTTAGGTAGTGGTAGTATTAAGGCTCTTAGTAAAAACCCAAATCATTTAAACAAAAATCAAGCCTTTTGTGTTCAAATTACAGCTCCTGTACAGATAAGAACTTGTACCTCCTCACAAGTGTGATAAACCAGAGGCAGCTGGGACTCGGGTTTTGTGCATGGCTTGGGTTTGTGCCCAGGCATTGTGCCTCAGATCTGTGAAGCCATTGCTTGCCATGTCAACTGGCAAAATGAAAGAATTGGATTGGTCAGAGAAGAGCCCATTGTGGAGTGGAAAGTAACGTAAGATAATGACAGCCTGCAATCAGCGTCAACGAAGTTGGTATTAACTTAAGCAGAGGATCCGGCACACCCTTTCCCCAAGCTCTGTAGAGGTCTAGTTGCTGTCCTCAGCTTGTCCTGCTGAAGTTTTCTCACCTGTCTGATAGCCTCAGTCATTCTTTCCTTCCATCAGTCTACAGGTTACTCCCCAGGGTTTTACTTTCCAGCCCTTCCAAGGGATTCACTCTCCACCCTTTCTTTCAACGCTCTGTTAACTTCCCCACAATAAATATGTGCACTGCCACTGTGGAAGAAAATGCTGGATGCTCTCTGGCCATGGGCTCCTTTTCCTGGTTCTTAGAATAAATTATACAGCCTAGTTTTTTTTAGTAAAACGTGGCCCACATCATAGAGGTGTCTCCAGAGAAAACAAGGCTGAAAATCATGTGGAGAGAGAGTTAAACTCTTGCAGTGCATGGCAGATGAGCTCTGTATTATATACTGCTATCACTTTTTACTTTGTTACACTAATTTTAGAACTGGTTATGCAAGGTACTGTGGAAAGTGGAAGAAAACTTTCTAAGGAGATTAGATTGTCTAAGTGGGCAAAAAAAGGGTGAGAGCTAAGAGCAGTGAAGGTTAGAAATAATTAAGTAACTTGCCTCATTTTTCAGCAGTATTAGCCCATGTACCTTAATTACAGAGTGACCTCTTAAGTGTGTGTGGTTATATTAAAGCTTGTCTAGTTCCAACCCCCTGCTGTGGAACACCTTCCACTAGGCCATGTGCCCAAAGCCCCATCCAACCTGGCCTGAACACTTACAGGGATGGCACATCCACAGATTCTCTCAGCAACCAGTCCCAGTGTTTCACCACCCTCATGGTAAAGAATTTCTTCCCAATATCTAATCTAAACCTGCCCTCTTTCAGTTTGAAGCCATTCCCTGTTGTCCTGTCTCTTTCTGCCCTAGTACAAGTGCCTCTCCAGCTTTCTTGTAGGCCCTTTTTAGGGACTGAAAGGCTTCTCTAAGGCCTCTCCAGAACCTTCTCTTTTTCAGGCTGAAAAACCCTCTCAGTCTTTCCTGACAGGAGAGGTGCTCCAGCTCCCTGATCATCTTTGTAGCTCTTCTTTTGACTCAATCCAACAGGTCCATGTTCTTATGCTCCAGAGCTGGATGCAGTGCTCCAGATGAATCCCCTCCATCAAGCTGCTGGCCACACTGCTTTTGATCCAGCCTAGGATGCCATTGGTTTGACATCTGGAACGTCAAGCTTCTCATCTGCCAACACCCCAAGTCCTTCTCCTCAGAGCTATTTTTGATGCATTCTCTGCCCAGAGATGTGATTAATCACTTTTACCGTGTTGAATGTCCTTAAATTCACTGTTGTATTGGTTTGGTGTGGCAAGGTTTTCATAGCAGGGGGACTATAGGGTTGATTCCCCCACATTCTGTAGAGTCAACGCCAGCCAGCTCCAGCTAGCACTGCTGGCCAAAGCTGAGCTCTTCAGTGATGCTGGAAATGACTCTAGGACAATGTATTTAGGAAGTGGAAATAAATTACTCCACAGAAGCATTGCAGCCAGAGGAGTGAGAATATGTGAAACAGCTCTGCAGGCACCAAGGGCAGTGCAGAAGGAGGGGCAGAAAGTTCTCCAGGTGCTGGAGCAGAGATTCCCCTGCAGGCCATGGTGCAGCCCAGAGTGTGCCCCTGTAGCCCACGGAGGTCCATGGAGGAGCAGAGATCCACCTGCAGCCCATGGAGGACCCCACACCAGGGCAGGTGGATGTCTAGAAAAAGCTGTGGCCCTGTGGGAAACCTGTGCTGAGGAGTCTCCTGGCACGTGGCATACAAGCCAGCACAACAGGGCACTTAATTCAGCTGAAAGCATAACTTTTCCATTGTATATCATGTATATCCATTGCGTGAAAGCTGCTGGGTTTTTCACCTTCAGTATTTGTTTGGTTGTCACAGCGTTAGGATGATGTTCATAGCTCTCATTTTGTTCATCTGGCAGGATTTCAGCTTTGTTTTCCTCTTGTGCATAGTGCTGAGTTCACCTTTCTGAACTAATATCACCACCAATACCTTCTTATCTGTTTGGCATTTTGTTATCTGTTTGGCACTATTGTGGGTTTGCCTTGCCTTTTCTTTATTTCATAAGGAAATAAAGATTTTTTTTTATTATTTCATAAAATGCTTATTCTGTTGTATACTAATAACATACATGAACCAAATCTGACCTTTTGGATCCTTGATGGGAGACTTCAATACAGTTCATTTTTTTGTTTTGTTTTTCTTCTCCACAAGCTTGGCATAATTATTTCTTCTGTCCCAGTAATTGCATATATATACCCCCTCATTTTAATGACTTTTTAGTTTCCCAAACCAATCTTGAGTTTGTGTTTTTATTTCTTTGCCTGTTTCAGAATCTGCTGTTGAACACATTTTGGTGTACTTTTCCTTGTGATGCTTTCTCAGTGACACTTAATGAGTCACTTCTGCACATGTTCTTTGTAAAACTGTTCAGATTTCAGCACACTCATCAGCGCTGCACATATCCTCAAAGCTTGACAGACTACGATGTGCCCATATTGGCAGGTGACTTTTAATTCAGTCTGAAGATTGCAGGTTCAGGCTCTAAGTTTAACTCTCATCTGCAAACTGAGTTTAGAGGTCCAGCTGACCTTCTGTCTGAGGAGCCAAGCTTATCATTCTGTCTGTCCCTGTCAGTGGATGTCCTGGCTCCAAAATTTCATCACCTTTTTGTGCAAGATTATCCATTGTGAATTTAATTATTTTTCTACAGTTTTGGGGGAAAAAAAAGTGGTAAAAGTGCTTTATGATTTATTATTCCTCCAAATTCTTGGGTACATTAAAATGGTATGTTTTATAGATGACATATTTGTGGCTTGAAAATTCTTGGAGGGAGCTTCTAGGTCTTCATACAAGTACTCATCTTGTATCACAACTAAATGCTGCAGTACCAGCCTTTACCAATTCTGTTTCCATCTTTGTTTTCCTAACTCATTCCTATTTAAATTTCAGAGATCCTCTTTAGTGGTTAAAAGCCACCATGAGATTGCTAAATGTGCTTCTGCCTGCTCAGGAACAGGGAATCAGTGTTCTAGTTTAATTCCTTTCCTTACATATGGTCGTCTTCCCTAAAATGCTTCCTAAAAGTAGGATTTTCCAAATCCCTCGGCATTGCCATGTACATGAATCACAAGAGCTGCCACTTCCATGAAGGAGACGGACTGTGACCCTTGTGGCTGTGAGTGTTAAAGTGCTCTCCGTTTCTCATTTTATCTGTCAGACACTGGTGACTGCCGGACGCTGGGAGGAGAGCCCTGGGCTGAGAACAGCGCCTGCTCTCTGAGGGTGCTCTGCAGCCAGCAAACAGAATGAGAGAGCAGAGCAGGAACAGGGGTAAGCAAGCTTCTGCTTTCCACAGATCACGGCATCACCCTTTATTTTAAGACCAAGCAAGAATTACAGGACAGCAGAATGCTGCCTTGCCACTGCTGGGGTAAATAAAGCAGTTGAACTGATTTTCAAACCATGTACAACTCATTTAAAGTACTCAGTAAAAAAATCTGGTTATTTCTGCCTGTGTCTGTGTTTAAACATGGACAAGACACAATTTAAAGTAAGAATCTTGGTGTTTCTTTGAGTGCACTGCTTGACTAATTTTAGTTGCAACAAGAGGTTTCCAGAGCAAAACATCTGTACTGATTGTTGTTACTATTTTACTGCTGAGGTGAGTTGCAATTTTAAGTTTTGTTTTTTACAAACAGAAAGAACATACAAAACAACTCACACTTGGTTTAAATTAATTGCTATTCTGCATATGGTGCTTAGGGGCCAGTCAAAGCAGAATGCTAATGGATCTCAGGCAGTCAGTTTATTGTAGCTGAAATAAGTATTTAAACCTCTTAACTCTATTCTTTTGAGCATCTAAATAATGAGTAATATCAAGGTAGCTTATTAAACTGCATTGCATATAGAAGTGCTTGAAATTTCTAACATAATGGAAAAAGGAGGATACAAATATTTTCATTTCATTTTTCTGAAAGTATCCCATACCCATACTGCATACTGCCCATAGCTGTGATGAGATAGTGTAGCTGAGCGTCTATGTTGAGCATAATATTTTAATTCATATATCCTGTGCCTTGCACTAAGATGAAGTGATTTAAGCAACTTGTCATCCTCTACAACTCATCTCTTGATGGGGTAGGTAAAGCAGTTGAACTGTTTCAAACCACTTCCAACTCATTTGAAATAATTAGGAAACAAAAACTAGGCATTTCTGTTAAAGTCTGAGTCTGGATGTGGATAGGACACAATTTACAGTAATAATCTTGATGTATAATGCAAGAAATGCTAACAGAAAAAGTATCAAAATAAATTTGCTCTAATTCAGATTCAAAGTAATGGCAGGAATCGGGTAGGACTTTTGTCTCTCAAGGAGGTGGATATGGCAGTCTGCTGAGAGTCAGGAGTCCTTGGATTTGCTATCAGCTTCATGATGTAGAATGCAAAAGGTCTCTGTGTGTCTGATTTCTGTCTCTATCCCTGGCTAAATATTTTTATTATAAGTGTCTCAAGAAGAAACTAACAAATTTTACATTTCTATTCTATTCTGACAGAAAATCAATGCTGGTTGCTCCTTGAGTAAAAAACCTAAATATTGAAAATGGATAATTTTAAATGCAAACCCTTTCCCCCATATTCTGGTGTGCCAAGGGTAGGAATGGGCTCTTCTGCCTGCAGTGATTTCGTTATACCTTGACACTAGGAGCAAATTAAAGTACCTTTGATGTTGTCCTAATCTGAGCAAAGTAACTAATGCTCTCTTGTTTTACTAATGGAAGAGAAGTGTTTCACCTCTTGGGACTCTTGTATGTAATAGAACATAGTGCTCGATTAAAATAAACCCACGTTAATTGCAAGGGGTAAGGGGGTCTCAACCACAGACCTTGCTGTATACACACCTGGCCAATCCAGTGGGTTTTTGCATTTAGTGCTACTTATTTCCTAACAAAATCCTGTACATATCAAGATCAAAGACAAGTAAGACTTTGGTAAAGAATTTCCAGTTTGACCAGTCATGAAAGAGCTGAATGAGCTCATTCTGTACATAAGAGACTTTAGCTGTACCCAAAAAGACATCTGGCTCTAGAATTATTTACTAGGGTATTTGTGGATCAAATCCGTATGAAAGTTCTGAATGGAGCAAAACCTTTGGCATGTTATATTTTGAAACCAAGGAGAATTGAATAGAATGTCAAGAAACTCTCATGGTTGTTCTTTTGGGTGTACCCGCTAATTAGTCACTATTATAGCTAATATTTGCTCATAAAGTGAAAGGAACATAACTATATTTATGCATGTGAATTAGTCAGTTCTACATCAAAATTTATTTTTAAAATAATTTTCCTCAGACTATTTTTTTATTCAAAGGCCCTTGAAAGTTAATGTGGGAAAGTTATTCCTATGGGCTTATGGGCAGGAAGATTATCTGAATTGATTTAATGAAGAATGCCTTGGGAGAAGAACTGTCTTTGGGTATTTTTTTCTGTAGTCCAGAAATCCAGACAATGAAAGACATGACAAAGTTCTACGCAAATTTATATTTTTCTTAAATTATGCTAATTTGCTAAAACATAAAAATTTGCAGTTGTATTTTAGTGATTAACCTCCTAGCTCTCTTTTATCCTCTATTTTTCAGAGCTGGATAAGAATTTAATTTTCATAGAACATTATTGACCTCCCACTGAAATCAATGATGAAACTTCTATGGGAGCTCATATAAATTTTATTAATCCTTTAATAATGCATACTTTGATAATGATTGTATCTTTCCCATGCTGCCTTACTAAGTGAGCAAAGTGCTTCCTATCCCAAGGCAGTGCACAATGCAATGTATAATCACAGCATCTGAATGACTGCATATCTACTGCTATGATTTAATATCTTGAACAAGCAGTTATACATTGGCTTGAACATAACTGACTCCATTTTTTAATTGCTACTGAGTGTTTCTTATATCTTCATAGCACTGCCAGATGAGATTGCACAATATTTTCCATGCAAAGACCCTCTTTCCAAATGATATGATTTTTTCAAAATTTTAACTCCTTGAAATTTCTTTTCTAAAAATGTATTTTCTTAAGTTGACTCTTTATAGACTTTTGATACACTTCCGTCAAGGCTTTTATGAAGAAGGAGGTGGAAATACTTCAGTGGGAATGTAGAAAGAGTATAAATTGCTGGATATGTCACTTAACAAATCAACATTTAACAAATCAACAAAGCATCACCATGGAATTTGGTGGGGACTTGCTTATGTGTGAAAATCATGCCTTGTTAACTGCACTTGAAAAACCAAACATTTTTCCATTAGAACTGAGCAGAAATCAAGTTGTTAACACAACTGCTGATACCATCCTAGGGTGTTACATTTAGCTCAGAGAGATCCTGGTATTTCTATTGTGCAGTAAAGCATTTAATGGATGCCAAATCAAACTCTTAACCTTTCTGTAATTCAGCAGGAAAGTAAACTAGACACTGGGAAACAGAATCAAACCCTTCTGATAAACATGTTTGCTTTGGTAATAAGTTTGAAGGGTTTTTTTACCCCAACACTAGTGTAAGACAAGAACAGTAAGTAAATTGATGTTGGTTTTAACCAGATGAGAGCTCCTTCCACCCTGATTATTCAGTATAAGCATGACCACAAGTACATGAGAGAAAATGTCCATCCAAATGTTCATCCAAATGTCCATCCCTGTGGCTATGGCCACAGAATATGAAGGAAAGAGCTGAGCAGCCACAAAGTGATAATTCTGATGAACATCCTTGAATACTGCACAAACCTCTGCTCAGGGGAGCTTGATGTGATTCCTTTGACAGCACAGTCTCCATGGAATTCTTGTTGTTGGTTTTGTTGTTGATGTTGTTATTGTTTTGTTTGTTGTTACAAAGGGCATATGGATCATGGCTGCAGTCAGTAGAGAAGAAGCAAACAAAATGGAATTTAGAAGACGTTCACCTTGCTTTAAAAGCTCCTTCAGAGTGACCAGTTTCATGCTCTTTGTGACTTCCTCTTGCAGCTCAGCTGTTGCTAGCACATGAGTTTTCACTGCACCTTTTTGTTTTGGCCTTTGCTGTTGCTGTTACTGGATTATGAGTGTGTCAGCTTCTTCTTAGAGAAGCAAAGAAGAGGTGAGAAGTGTAGCACTGCCTGGGAGAGAGGGGAAAAGAAGACTGTGGGCCTTGGGGATCATACAGGGAGAATAGCTGGAATGAATGAGGGGGCAGAAGGTAGAAAGGTGTCAGAAGGAAGTGGGTACATGTGGATGACTGAGGAAGCTGAGATAGCAAATGAAATGGCAGCAAATGAAAAAGTGAATGGGATATGTCACTATTTGAACCTCCAGATCCTGGAGACAAAGTAAATCAAATTATAATTAAATTACAATTAAAGATACTGGCTGGCCTATGTGACTAAAAGAGTTAAACAACTTGGTTTAAAGAATTGCTTTCTGTGCTGTTCTGGGCAAGCCATGAAAAGGACGTCATGCTTCTGAATTTTATTTGTCTTGGAGGTGGTGCACGGACATCCTTGTGTCTCAGAGTCTCCTTTAGATGACATTGCTTGCTGGAGGTTAAGAAAAATTTCTGTCACTAGTCAACTTTGATCCCTCCCTCTGTTTGGTACTACTGTTCATTCCATGAAAACTGTGACTACTGAAAACTGAAAACTAGCAGAGCAGCGA